TTTTTTTTTTTTTTTTTTTTTTTTTTTTTTTTTTTTTGCAAACTAACATTTAATGCTATCTAATACATTATCTAATGTATTTAATTTATTCCATTGCCAAATATAGCTGATTGAGAATAACAAAATTAAACAATAATTATTTGTGATATATGATTCATTGTAATGATATTATATATGATAAAATATGAACTATAAATTGCATTAAAATAATATTGTCTATGTAGCAATATTCAATCTTTCCATTTACCTAACAGAAGAGGAAACTCAATTAGTTCTTTTTCAAAAATTTTAATTATTACAGTAATACATGCATCATTTAGTTTATGTTAGCTAAGTGATTTAAAACGATTAAAAATGTCATTATGAATTGCTGGATATAAAAATTAAACAAAAATTAATCATGCAGAATTCGATTTAATCATTGCTAACAATTTGTAATAGATGCTTAAATGAATATATTATTTGTCATTTTGATTTATAACACCTGAGCTGACATTTTAAAAAACGCACATTGCAAAATTCCATAACAGAAGAAAAAATAATAATAATAATAATTAATTTCGAAATTTCAACAGTCTGTCTGTTTTTACCATTTTTTTTTTTTGCCACATTCCTTCGTCATCCTCCTCCCATCTAAACTAATTTGAGATAAAAAAAAAAAAAAAATCAGATTTGCTAACTAGAATTTTAGAATTACAGGAAGAAGTGTACTGAAATATTTTGAGTGAGGAATGAAACGAAAATAAAAAATTGAATTTTATTTAAAGTAAGGAAACATTATCCAGTACTCCCAATGGATTTCTTTCTTCCTTTCTCTTCTTTCTTTTTAGAATCTCAGACTAAAAAGTACATTGTTGTTGACGTGTTGAAGCATTTGCTTCTTTTGTTCAGTAACCAACCAAAAATAATCATCATCAGTTATGCGATGATTTTTTTCAAAGAAAGATGGAAAGATAAAGTGAGAAGAAAAGAAATTTTTTTTTTCTTTTTGAAAAAAAAAAAACAAGGAAAAATATGAAAATTTTGATTCATATAATTTTTACTTGCACAAATTCAATTCAACTCTTTGATGATTTTAAGTTTAACTCATTTAGGCCTTTCTTTTAATAGCAATTTATTAGGTATATTATTCCTTTCATGCAGATATTTATTGATACAGATATTTACTTACTACCTGTCATCTGTCATTATCACAAATAAAATTAGTAAATATTATTGAATTTTAGTAATCTTTAATATAGTTGTAGGAATCACAATTTTTTTTACGAGTTCGAATATAAAATATATGAAATTGTAGGAAAAAAGCTTCAACATCCTGAATTATGTCATTCATTTCTGAATTAAATAATAATAGTTTGCAATGTTAAAATCTATACTTAAATAAGGTAATAATAATAATTAATTCTTGTTTATACAATGGATATTGATTAGATTTCAATATTTTGTGTTTAAATTAAACTTTTATAAATTTGATAAGGTCTTTTAAACGATAGTAATATCACGTGGTTTAGTGATAAAAAAAAAACGATAGTGATAAATCACGTGGTTTCATCATCAGCTACTATATCATTATCATTATTATTATTATTATCATCAAATGTTGCTGAAGATTACAAAGATGATATAACAATGATTTAAATAATAATGGTAATAAGAGCTGATGACAGTTTTATATTTTCATAAGATTGATCGCTTGCTATAAATCAATCAATATCTGGCAAATTTTGTTTTCACACGATACTGCAATGGTTCGCAAAATTTCCATTTCTTTTGCTTAAGAAAAAAAGAAAAGAAAAAAAATAAATTGATAGCTCTTTTCGTTGCTAAAAAAAAATTACTAGCAAAGAAATTGATTACATGTATATGTATATTTCCTCATACAATAAATTTCAGTATTAAAATTTTATTTTAATTAATTAAAAAAAAATTAAACAAAGTATATAATATATGAAAACTAGACAAAAGTTAGCTGAGATCATTATTCCTCATAAAAAAAGAAAGTTTTAATTTTAATTTAACAAATTGTCGTTGAGGAAAGAGAACGAAAAACAGAAAATAAAATGCAATAAGCCTTTAACATATTTTTACAAAATGGAAATAAAAAAATTATTTATAGAATTTGCGTAAAAGTTGTGCAAATGATTATCAATCGTTTCTCTTTTCTTTTTCTCTTCCATTCTTTTAATTCTTTCCTTTTATTTGAAAATAAAAAAAAAATAGAAAAAAAAAGAAAGAAAGAAATTGCTGCAGCAAACTTCCGATTGTACTTATTGCGTAGTCAAGAGAGTATGAATTTTTTCGGTTCCGTGATATTGTCGATTCATCCTTTAACATTTATAATAGTAATCATTTGATTAAATGAATGAATGATAAAATTTAATACAGCTCTAATTTTAATAATAAAACTTTCCTTTTTTTTCATTAATATATTAGGAAAAAAAAGAAATTATATACTGCAAAATTTAGTATTTTGCATGCTTGTTGTTAATTTGTAAAAATTAAAACTTATTTCTGGTATATTTCTATTGCCAATTTATTTGAAAAATTTGATCATCATTCATCAGTATTTTCGCTATTAAATTCCTCTTTCTACAATCTTTTGATATCTATCAATTTATTCATTGCGTTTAATGATACATTTCCGCTTACCAAATGGATAACAGATGTTGAAAATTGTTGATTATTGACGCAAACAATTCCTATCATTCAATAACTTTTCATTCGTTTTATTACAACGCTAATCATTAATGATTCATTACAATTATAACTGATATGAGAATGATATCGACATTCAATCACAATGATTAAACAATAACAAAATTGTACAATAATTAGTAGTGTATTATTAGTTATGCAATATAAAAGTACTAATCATATCAATCGCAGAAATTATAATTTTTAACCAAGAATCAATTATGATTCGTATCATAACAAAAAACATCGGTGCACTGAAATATTTCACATTTGTTAAATCATTAATCGCTGGCACTCAGCTAAATTATTAAACCATTTTCAATGATATTAATTTTTTTTTAATGAGGTCATGCTAAAAGAAAAAAAAAAACTATAATCTAAGAGATGCATGAAGAATTATTTATTTAAAGTAATCAAATCAAATAATAACAAAATCATTTAACAAATTAAAACAAATAGCAAATGTATTGCAAAATTTGAAAAAAAGAAAGAGAAGTGAAGGCAAACTGACGTAAAAGAATATTTTTTAAGATATGAAAAATTTGCCAACATTCTGAATGAAAAATTCCACTTAAAGAAGCTAAAAATTTGTCATCTCAAAACTTTACATAATTTCTGGAAATAGTATTATCCCAATTTCAACTACGCCTTTTTTCATCCTCTATGCATGCAAAAAAGAGTGAAAGATGTTTCTGAAAAATCTTAAGTTTCATTATCGAAAACGAAAAAAAAAAGCAAAAACAATTGGAACTAAGTGAATAAGCTGGAGATGCCTTGAGCACCATCTTATTTTGATATAAACATGATCAGGATAAAGAAAATCATTTTTCACAACAGTGCAATTTATATGCATTCCGCTTGTTTTTGGCTGAAATTAAAACTGTGATTGACCTATTTTCATCCATACAAATTGATGAAACCAATCTAAACTCATTAATGAAGCTAATTTTAGGTTAACTGAATTTATTCAATTGCAACTTTATACATCAAACATATGATAAGCTAAAATTCTTTGCAATATTTCACACATCGTTAAGCAGTTTAAGACAAAATGATGATAAATTAAATTTGAAAAAAAAGGGCAAATTTATAATCAAAAAACAATACCCGAAACTTGCAAAAACCAAATAATTGATTTAAACTTGTTTCTTTATTCACAATTCTTCATTATGCTGCTTTCTTTTTTGTCTCCGTAATTCCATAACATATGCCGGGTGACGTCTTACATATTCCACTTGCTCAAATAAAAAAAAAGGCTTAAAAAAAATAGCTATACAATATGTAGCAAGGAATTTTATAACTCATTTGTAGCTAAAACCATAAAGAGATGTATTTCAGATGTCTGGAATGAAACAAAGCTTAAAATTTAGCCCGCATAAAAATCATGTTGGAAAGTTTGATTATCATAACAAATTCCGAAAATGTCGAAAATTTCAGGAAAGAATGATATCAGTATCATAAAGAAAAAGAAAAAAAAAATATTTCATAGGTTTCAAATCTTTAACTGCTATAAGTTTATCCATCGAATTTATGTTTGGGAACCAAAATATATGAATCGTGAAATTGAAATTAAATATATCATAGATATGTTTAGTTTAAGATTTCTGAAGATCCACCCATAAACAATAAAATCATGCGTACCATAAGAATAAGCTTTTGAAATTCATCTCGATCAAATCGATAATTTTGGAATTTTTTATGCGGCTCACCAGTTTGTGGATGTATACCCTCACCAACTGGAAATACCTTATCGCTTTTTCTCCATGTAAAATATTTGATACCACGAAGGCGTGCTAGATCCAAATAACAATCTGTATCACCACAATTGTATCTTAAAATATTCGATATCAGTACTGTAAAGAAGAAAAAAAAATATTTCACAGATTTCAAATCTCTAATTGCTATAAGTTTATTTAAGAAATGATAACCAAAATAAATAAATAATTAGAAAGTAGATAAGCAAAGAAAAAAATAAACATTGATAAATTTATTAAATTACTTCAGTGTAATCTATCCATGATAGTGATATTAAATGCATAATAAAAATTAAAAATAAACATGATTTTAAACCTTCTCATCTTCCCTCCCCTCATCCTCTTTCTCCTCTCCCCTTTTCCCTTGTCATCAAACTTCTAGATGAAGATCAATCACAAATGCTTTACTAGCAAAAACATGAATTAAAAACATACAATTCGAAAATGACAGCCCAATCCGGCAAAAACAACAAATGTGTTAAGCCACTACCATGCATTCCAATCAATACATCGCTATTATGTGTGATTTCCAATTGTTGTAAAAATGTAATACTTCTATAATGTTTGAACGAAATTAATTATAAAAAA